ATTCGGAGGAGAGACCATTTGGGACAGACAGAAGGCCCCAGCCTCTACAGTGGCCCCAGCCTCTGTGGAAATCAACTCCACATAAATACATGTTTTTTTTAGAAAATGGCACACACACAAAAAATTGATTGTGGGTTTAGGTATAACCACTCAATTATATAAAGCAAACATTTATTTTTAGAGTGTCTTTTATTTATTTTTCAGTCCAAGGATATAATTTATTTCTCATCATTGTTTTTTCTCCATAACATTAATGTCAGGGTGTCTATCTTCTTCAATTTTACATTTAAAAAAACAGCCTTGGTATTTTAAAACAAAAGTATAACTATAACTCCAGTGACAACTGCAAAAAGATTATCATGAAAAGTTTCAGAGCCTTAATATAAATAATTTACACTAACAACCCACACTGCCTAACTTTGATATGCATAGGTTAGTACTTAAACTAAACTATAGCCCTGGCCGGTTTGGCTCAGCATCAGCCTGTGGACCAGAGAGTCCCAGGTTCAGTTTCCCCTAGGGTCACGTACCAAAAAAAAATTTTTTAACTAAACTATAATAGCTTGACATTCTAACTCAAGTTTCCTCCAAAAACATCCCAGCTTTACTATCAGAAATTTACTTCATGAGGTTAAAATGAAACAGTCCCCTTGCCCTGGATGATGTGGCTCAGTTGGTTGAGTATCATTCCATGCATTGAGAGGTTGCTGGCTGCACTCTCAGTTAGGGCACATGCCCAGTTGCAGGCTCCATCCCCAATAGGGGACGTGCAGGAGGCGACTAACTGATCCTTCTCTCTCCCCCCACCCCCTCTCACTCCAGAATCATTAAAAACATGTGTGTGTGTGTGTGTGTAAAAAAAAAAAAAAAAAAAAAAAAACAGTCCCCAAACTATATTCCCTTCTGCACCAACAGAACAAGTCAAGGGTACAACCACAAGAACAAGTAATTCAATGTACTCCATTCCTCAGAAATTAGTTTCTAAAGAAATCTACAATGTGACACATTCAAATTAAATTAACAAAATTCAAAGACAGAGAGTTTTGAAATCAGAAAAAGTGATTCACCACATACAAGGAGTCTCCCATAAGAATATCAGTGGGTTTCTCAGCAGAAACCTTGCTGGACAGGAAAAGAAATATATTTGTCTTGTTCACATCTGATAAATAATATATTAAAAGTACTGAAAAGAAAAAAACTGCCAACCAAGAATAAAAAATAAGGGAGGGATAAAGACTTTTCCAGAAAAGCAAAAACTGAGGTAGTTCATCATCACTGTGTCTACCTTATAAGAAAGGTTAAAACACTCCTTCAACTTGAAACAAAAGTAGTTGCCCTGGTCGGTTTGGCTCAGCAGTTAGAGTGTTGGCCTGTGGACCAAAAAAGCACGGGTTCAATTCCAGTCAAGGGCAGGTACCTCGGTTGTGGTTCAGTCCCCAACCCTGGTTGGGGTCGTGTAGGAGGCAACCAATTGATGTGTCTCTCACACTGATGTTTCTATCCCTCTCTCTCTCTCTCCCTTCCTCCCTCCCACTGTATCTGAAGATAAATGGGAACATATCCTCAGGTGAGGATTTTAAAAAGTACAGCAAACAGAAACATGAAAGAATAAAAAGTATAAATCTCACTGGTAAAGGTAAATACATAGAAAAGCATAGAATAATGTAATACTATAAGAGTAGTGAGTAAAGTTCTTTTAACTCCAGTGTACAAGTTAAAAGACAAAAGTGTTATAAATAACTATTATCACAAAAAAATGATTAAGGGATATACAATATAAAAAGAAGTAAATTATGACACCAAAAACATAAAATGTGGGGAGGAGTAAATGTGCAGTTTTTTTTTCAACAAGACAAACAAAAAGCTTATCTATATTCTTTTTTTAATATGGTTTATTGATTCTACAGAGAGAGAAAGGGAGAAGGACAGAAACATCAGTTGGGCATCTCCCACATGCACCCTGGCCAGTCTTTTATATTTATTAAATGTATTGGGGTGACTTTGATTAATAACAATATATAGGTTTCACATGTACAATTCTACAGTGCATCATCTGTATATTGCACTGTGTGCTCAACACCGAAAGTCTAGTCTCCCTCATCACCATATACTTGACCCCCTTTACCCTCTTCATCCTCTCCCCACCTTTTCCCCCTCTGGTAACCTTCATATTGTTGTCTGTGTCTATGAGTTTGTTTGTTGGTTTTCTTTGTTTGCTTGTTGCTTTCTGTTTTGCATCCCACATGTAAGAGAAATCATATGGTTCTTGTCCTCTGTCTGAGTTATTGCATTCAGCATGATATGCTCAGGACCCATCCATGTTGTCACAAACAGCAATATTTCATCTTTTCTTATGTCTGAGTATATATGTATATATGTACTACATCATTTTTATCCCATAATCTATCAAACGACACTTTGGTTGTTTCCATTTGTTGGCCACCATGAGTAATGCTACAATGAACTTAGGGGTACCTATATACTAATGAATATATGTTTTTAAATTTTTCAGGAAGATATCCAGAAGAGGGATTGCTGGGTCATATGAAAACTCTATTCTTAATTTGTTGAGGAACTGCCATACTGTTTTCCATAGTGGCTGTACCAGTTTAAGTTCCCACCAGTAATGAATAAGTGTTCCCTTTTCTCCACAACCTATCTAACACTTGTTATTTTTTGTTTTATTAATAATAGCTATTCTGCTCTGGCCAGTGTGGCTCAGTTGAGCATCATCCTATGCACCACAAGGTCACCAGTTCAATTCTTGGTCAAGGCACATGCCCAGGTTGTGGGTTCTACCCTTGGGCAAGGTGCATTTTGAGTTAATTTTTGTGTATGATGTCAAATAGCAGTCTAGTTTCATTCTTTTGTACGTGGCTTTCCAATTTTCCCAACAGCATTCATGGAAGAGGCTTTCCTTCTTCATTGTATGTGTTCAGCTCCTTAGTTAAAAATTAGTTGCTCATATGCATATGGGTATATTTCTGGGCTCTCAATTATATTCCATTAATATGTATGTCTGTTTTTCTGCCAATATCCTACTGCTTAGATTATTGTAGCTTATAACTTATGCTTCATGACTTGCTTGAGCCCAATATCATGTATACCATGTCCATTTGATGATAGAGTGCTTCTGTGAACATCCAATTTTAGAGCTTGATGGGTGAGAAAACACCCATTTCATGATGGATAGTTCAGGTCACATTGTAATTTAGTAGCTGATAGTTAAGTGTTCAGTTTTTACTAAAACACAGTAGCAAGCCAAAAGCTGTTTCTCAAAAGGAGAATAGTTATCCACAGAGGATAGAAGGACTTTACTCTAAAATCCTAGGGTTCTGTACTGTGATTCACACTTGACCCACTGTGAGATAAACCTGAGCTAAAACTACATTGCTCACCTGACCTCCATAAGCCTCCACTTTGACCAGTGGACTACACTGACATTTTGGGTCTTCTTGAATTAGTGTCCAGTAATTCCAAAATTTTGTTTCTTTTCCCCATTACAGTCATCCTGGTTAAAAGTCATAGGTTCCTCAAAAAAAGACCCCAAATAGCCACTGCAATCTTGAAAAAGAAGAAAAAAGTAGGAGGGATCACAATACCAGATATCAGGTTATACCACAAAACTATTGCAATAAAAACAGCCTTGTATTGGCACAAGAACAGGCATATAGATAAATGGAATAGAAGAGAGAATCCAGAAATCGACTCAAGACATTATGTTCAATATTTGACAAAGGAGGCAAGAGAATACAATGGAGAAAAGATAGTCTCTTCAATACATGATGTTGGGAAAATTGGACAAGCTACATGCAAAAAATGAAACTAGCCCATCAAATTACACCATACACAAGAATAAACTCAAAATGGATAAAAGACTTAAATGTGACTCATGAATCCATAAAAATCCTAGAAGAAAATGAGGCATCAAAATCTCAGACATCGCACACAGCAGAATTTTCACTGATACATCACCTAAGGCAAGAGAAACAAAGGAAAAATTAATAAATGGGACTACATCAAACTAAAAAGCTTCTGCACAATAGAAGAAAGAAGCATCAAATTGGAAAGAGAACCCACTGTATGGGAGAACATAATTGCCAGTGATACATTAGATAAGGGGTTAATCTCCAAAATATATAGAGTACTCATACAACTCAGCAAAAGGAAGACAATGAATTCAATTAAAAAAAAATGGGCAGAGGACCTAAATAGATACCTCTCCAAATAGGACATACAAATGGCCAAGAGACATATGAAAAAATGTTCAGTCACTAATCATCAGAGAGATGCAAATCAAAATGACTATGAGGTATCATCTCACACCCGCCAGAATGGCTGCCATCAACAAATCATCAAACAACAAGTGTTGGCGAGGGTGTGGAGAAAAGGGGACTCTGGTACACTGCTGGTGGGAATGCAGACTGGTGCAGGAATATGGAAAACAATATGGTGTTTCCTCAAAAAATTAAAAATGGAACTGCCATTTGACCCAGTGATTCCACTTCAAAGAATCCTGAAACACCAATCAGAAAGAATATATGCACCCCTATGTTCATAGCAATACTATTTACAATAGCTAGGATCTGGAAACAGCCCCAGTTTCCATCAATAGATAGTGGATAAAAAAGCTGTGGTACATATACGCAATGAGATACTATGCAGCCGTAAGAAAGAAAGATCTCTTACCCTTTGAGATGACATGGATGGACCTGGAGAGCATTATACTAACCAATGTTATGGGTTTCCAGAGTCAAATTATCCTGCGCACTGTTTTGATTCTGTTGTATATTCATTATGGTAACCCTGGCCACCTCCTCTTTGGCAATTAAGTGCCACCACTTGGTCCCTACCAATATGTAAACTAGTCCTTAAGATTCTATTTCTCCAGAATGGCTCTTAGTAACAAAACCAATATCAGTAAGCGTTCTCAAAAACAACAACAACAACAATAGTATACAAATATTTTTAAATTTTTATTCTTTAAGTAATTGACTCACATAATTGTGGGGTCTAAAAAGTCCAAACTTTGTAGAGCAGACAGGAATTTCAAACAAGAATTGATGCTGAAGTATTAATTCTAAAATCTGTAGGGCAGGCAATCAGCCTGGAAATTTAAACAGGATTTTTATGTTAGTCCTTTTTTTAATTTTTATTAATTTATTTATTTTTGTTACAGATGTTTCTCCTTCCCCCCCCCCGCACTGATTCCCACTCCTCCCACCCCCACCCTTATGTTACAGTCTTGAGCCAGAATTTATTCTTAACTTTGAAACTTCAATTTTTGTTCTTAAGACCTTCAACTGATTAAATGAGGTCCACTAACATTATTGAGGGTGATTTCTTTTACTTAAAGGCAACTAATCATAAATATAAATAACATCTACAAAGTATCTTCACAGCAGCATCTAAATTAGTGTTTGACTAAAGACCTGGGCCCCACAGCCTAGCCAAGTTGACACATACAATTAACTATCATAGGCTCTTTCAAGGTAATTCTCTGAAATAAATTTTATAAAAAAGATACACATTGAAGATCCTTAAAAGTAGTCCAATTAGATAAATAAATGATTTCAGTAGCTTTGTGGCTTCATAACAGAAATTTAGCAGTAACAAAATTTGCTTGTGAAGGCCAAGAGAAGAGAGGCCAAGGTCTTTAAACCACTCCATCTGATAAAGAAAACATTCAGCAGTTACAGTAATCCAGATTATTTTACAAGCCACCTTGGCACTTCTAACTGTTCTTATGTGGCGTGTTTCTACTGGAAGAAAAGTGATCAGAAAGGCCTCAAGGCTGACACAGCTGAGTAGAAGTGAACTGACGTGTATATTTGCAGTCTGGAAATTCTGCCTCAAGGTTGATTGAAAAGATGATAATATTTTATTATTTATCACATCTTGAGTCATGGCAGAAAACATGCTACAGACAACTAAGATGTCTGCCTGAGCTATGTTACAAATAAACACTGCAGTGGACTTTCTGGATACAGAAGGTGACATCAGTAGCAATGTGACATACAAACTGGCACACAATCCCAACTGAGTGATGATGATGTTTGGAGAAGGTAGGACTAGATACTGGATATATTTGAATGCCAGGTACCTTTTGAAATCTTTCATGTGATCCCGATTTGTAAAAGCACTGAATTGGGCAGGATTCCTGTAGTGAAGTAGAAAAAAAAGTTATGTAAGACTATATAAACAAAAACTTAGTTACTTAACACTACAGTTCAGTTCAAGTAATTCAATGTTAAAACAGTCTAGCATGCTAACATCTTCCTCATTGTTAGACCTAGTTTCATAGTAGTTCATGCTGCCACGTGAAATTACTTATGGTGGCAATTGACTGCAAAGGCAAAAATCATCTTCTGTTTCAATGTTTTCTATATATAGGTTGATGTCCTTATTTATCTTTGATTTCACTCTTCTCATTAGTCAGCTTAAGCAAAAAAATTAGAAGAAATTTTCCTGCTCAGACAGATGTACATATAAATGTCACACAAAAATATTTTGGACAGGTATCTGGTAGAAGAAGATTAGGCTTCCTCTTGGTTGATCCACTAAAAAAAATATGGAGCCCTGGCTGGTGAGGCTTAGTTGGTTGAGTGTGGTCCCATGCACCGAGAGGTCACAGGTTTGATTCCTGGCTGGGGCACTTGCTCAGGTTGCAGGTTCAGTCCTCTTGGGGTGTGTACAGGAGGCAAGTGATCAATGTTTCTCTCTCACATAAATCTTTCTCTTTCTGTGTCTCCCTCTCCCTTTCTTTCTCTCTAAAATCAATAAAAACATGTTGTTTTTTTAAAAAAAAAACATGTGTTTTTTTAAGTAATAGACATTATTACAATAAAGTTTCTTTGTATGAAATGAACATATTAAAAGAAACCCTGAAACCAAAATGTTCTCCTTTCCTCTAAGCAGAAGCACTGCTCCGAGTTACTAACTAGTTCTTCTATAGCCACAAAATAATTCCTCACCTTGAGATTATTCACATTCAATAAGCAGCATGCCTGGAACATCCTCTCTGCTCATCTGAATCCTCCTTTATGTCATCTACAATGTCTAACTCCATACCACTTGTGTGGGGTAGATAAAATATCACTGATGTATTTAGCCTTCTCATGAAACATTGAAAGCACAATTCAAATAATACCCCACCCTTCCCTCTGTTTCTGCCTTCTCTCCCCTCTTCCTTCTTCCCTTCCCTGCCCCTCTCTCACCTTCTATCTCATTAAATTAGTTAGAAATGTTTGTGAGGAGATAGTTAATGTCAACTTTAACTTAGTGATTTGTCATGTCATACAGAAGGCAAATTGGAGATTTTGAGTTGATGTAAAATCTGAAGAGATGTATTGTGACAGAAGTTTTACTTAAAAATAGAGCTACATAAGCCTTTTATGTCCCTTATAAGTATCTCAAAATTCTAGGCTGCTAAGATTTACTACATTTGGTGATAATTGCCACTAACAGTTCCATGCCTGGGACATGCACGCAGTTTGTTCCTGATATCAAAGCTTCTTAAAACATCATTGTTCCCAAGATATTTTAATGGATATATTTTACTATGATGAGAAATTTCAAAAGCTACTCTCTTAGCAACTTTCAAATACACAATTCAGTTTTATTAACTATATTCACCATGTTGTACATTATATCGCCAGGATTTATTTATTTTATAACTGGAAGTCTGTACATTTTGACCATCTTTATTCATTCTGCCTATCCCCTACCTCTGGCAACCACCAATTTGTTCTCTATATCTACGAATTCAGTATTTTTTAAGTTTCTAAATATAAGTGAGAGCCCTGGCCAGTGTGGCTCACCTGGTTGGAGCATCATCCCGTGCACTGAAAGGTGGTAGGTTCAATTCCTGGTCAAGATGCATATGGGAGGCAGCCAATCAATGTTTCCTTCTCACAAATACGTCTGTCTGTCTGTCTGTCTGTCTCTCTCTCTCTCTCTCTCTCTCTCTCTCTCTCTCTCCCTCCCCTTCCTGTCTCTAAAAACAATCAATAAATATAAGTGAGATCACTCAATATTTGTCTTTGTCTGTCTGGTTTATTTCACTTAGCATAATGCACTAAAGGTCCATACATGTTGTCACAAATAGCAAGATTTCCTTCTTTTTAAGTATTTGCGTGTATATACCACAAAATCCCTCCAAAAAAACCCAGACTGAAATACTAAGATATTTTAAAAGTTTTATGGCCCAAGAGACATATGAAGAAATGCTCAACATCACTAATCATCAGAGAGATGCAAATTAAAACAACAATGAGGTATCACCTCACACCTGTCACAATGGCTGCCATCAACAAATCATCAAACAACAAGTGTTGGCGAGGATGTGGAGAAAAGGGCACTCTAGTACACTGCTGGTGGGAATGCAGGCTGGTGCAGCCACTATGGAAAACAATATGGTGTTCCCTCAAAAAATTAAAAATTGAACTGCCATTTGACCCAGTGATCCCACATCTAGGAATATAAGAAGCCTGAAACACTAGTCAGAAAGAATATATGTACCCCCATGTTCATAGCAGCACTATTTACAATAGCTAAGGTCTGGAAACAGCCCAAGTGTCCATAAATAGATGAATGGATTAAAAAAAACTGTGGTACATATACACATTGGAGTACTATGCAGCTGTAAGAAAGAAAGATTTCTTATCTTTTGAGATGATATGGAGGGACCTGGAAAGTATTATCCTAAGTGAAACAAGCCAAGCAGAGAAAGACAAATATCACATGATCTCACTTATTTGTGGAATATAATGAACATAACAGTCTGAAGAACAGGGTAGTCCCATAAACCACAGAACTTATATGCATGTACGCATAACCAATGGACATGGACAACAAATCTGGGGATGAGGTGGGGAGGGATGGAGAGGAGGGTGGTAATGGGGGAAAAAGGAGAAACATCTGTAACAAAAGAAAGAAAGAAAGAAAGAAAGAAAGAAAGAAAGAAAGAAAGAAAGAAAGAAAGAAAGAAAGAAAGAAAGAAAGTTAGTTTTATGGCCCTATTCACAGTAGTGACTTTCAAAGTAAAACAAAAGCAAATAATTAACCAGTGAATTTTAAATAATATATATAAGAAATGGTGTGTGTGTGCTAATTGTTCGTTCATTCTTTATCCGTTCATCCATTGATGGACACTTAGATTGCATCCATGTTTTGGCTATTGTAAATAATGTGTCAATGAACATGAGTGTGTAGACAGCTTTTTGAGTTAGTGTTTTTGTTTCTTTTAAATAAATACCCAGAAGCAGAATTTCTGGATCATGCAATAGTTTTATTTTGTTTTCTATAGTGGCTGCACCAATTTACCTTCCTATCAGCAGTGCATGAGAATTCCCTTTTCTCCACATCCTCACAAACACTTGTTATTTCTTGCCCTTTTGGGAACAGCCATTTTATCAGGTATGAAATAATATCGGTTTTGATTTGCATTTTCCTAATGATTAGTGATGTTGAGCACTTTTTCATGTACCGGTTGGCCATCTGTATGTCTTCTTTGAAAAAAAAAAATGTCTATTTGGATACTCTGCTCACTTTTTAATCAGATTGTTTTGTTCCCAAGATGTATGACTAGGTCAGAATATTCACAGGAATCACAAATTCAAATACCTATGAGTTCCAGAAAGCTAATCTAAATGATTGATATACTCTCTGAAGGGAATAGCTCATAATCAGCTCTAGCCTATTTTTGCCATTTAAAAGTACTCCCCCCCCCCTTTTTTTTTTTAATTTCAGGAGCTGGAAGTCAGATTCTTGGGTGAGAGTGCTCAAAGTTTTAATGTGGTCAATCAATTCAAAATTGTTAGTTTGGTGTTTTGTTTACTTTTGTTTTCATACCATGTAGGCCAGATAAAGCCCAGTCACCACTTTGCAATTTTTGGTTTCAATCCCATAAATCTCATACCCAACAAGGAAATATCACTGAAGTTCTTAAACCATTGGTCATAGCAAATTCTGCATCTAAACTGAATGAGGATGGGGAAGCAGGAAAGAAATTATCATTTATTGAACAACTCATATGTTCCAGGCACTGTGTTCAACACTTTATTTTCATTATTTCTTTTAATATTTTAAAGTGCTCTATGAAGTATTGGTACTATTGCCATCTCCATTTTACAAATTAGAAAACTAGAGAGGTTACTTAACTTAATCAGAGTCACATATGACTAAAAAGTGATGAAATCTTAGAATCCAGGCTTATTTCAGTAACAATTTTTTGTTAACTTCTGTTCTAACAGGTCATTTACCCAAGAGTTAACAGGAGCTTACATTTACACCCTTTTTCTTAATGTAGGGTCATGAACTGGGATGTCAATACTCAAAGAATAAAAAGTCAAACTTCCTGTTTTTCTTTTCTCCTCACCTTTCAAGTCATTACTACTCATTTTTATTATCACTGTTAAAGGAAATTTGTAATTTTACCATCTTTAAGAAAACATCAATTCCGATACAAAAAGGTCTTTATTGACTTGGTTTCCAAATCTCATGTGATGTATTTAAATTTTAGTGCTTCTTGAGCTCCTTCCCTGAGCTGTGGGGGAAAGGAGGCCCCCACCCCACACCTAAGATATTCAGCCTTTCCCAGGTGAGGCAAATAAATGCAAATTGAGGCTCATTAACAACCAGCATCTATTCCACCCTCTGGAAATCCTCTTATGCAAAACACCAGGGCTACATTCCAAGGCACTGAGTAACTGAGACTACTAGCCTCCAGGAAAAAGCTAGAGGATAACTGAACCTTTCCTGAGCTTGCAAATATACCCAGGAAAGTAAGACTTGACAGTGGTGCTTAACGTGCGCCCACCCAGGCTCATCCAAACCAAGGAGAGGGAGCCACAAACAGCAGAACACCAACACCCACAGGGAAAATTTGGCTGGCTCCAAAACCCACTGACATAGCCAAAATGGTGAAACAAAAAAACAAATCCCAAATGAAAGAACAACAGAATTCTATCAAAGATGAGATAAATGAAATGCAGCTAAGCAAAAAAACAGAGGTAGAGTTCAGAGCCATGATCTAGAGGAAGCTAAACAGCATGAGTAAGGACATCAGCACCATGAGTAAAGATACAGAGACATTGAAAAACAACCAAGTGAAAATGAATAATGACATAGCAGAAATTAAGAATACATTGGAAGGACTAACCAATAGAGTAGAGGAAGCTGAGGACCGGATCAGTGAATTAAAAGACAGGGTAGAATAAATCAACCAAACAGAAAACCAAAAGGAAAAAACAATTAAAAAACAGGAAGACAGATTAAGAGATCTGTGGGACAACTGGAAACATAATAACATTCTCATCATAGGAGTCCCAAAGGGGAAGAAAATAGGCAAGGGTTAGAGAATATATGTGAAGAAATCGTGACAGAAAACTTTCCTAACTTGGTGAAGGAAGAAGGCATTAAAGTTCAAGAAGCACAGAGAGCCCCAAGTAAAAAGAACCCAAATAGGCCCACACCAAGGCACATAGTAATTAAAATGCCAAAAATTAAAGACAAAGAGAGAATCCTAAAGGCAGCAAGAGATAAGCAACAGGTTATCTACAAAGAAAACCCCATAAGGCTCTCAGCTGACTTCTCAACAGAAACACTACAGGCCAGAGGGAGTGGCATGAAGTAATCGAGGTCATGAAAAACAAGGATCTGAATCCAAGACTACACTATCCAGCAAGGCTATCATTCAAAATAGAGGGTCAAATAAAGAGCTTTCCAGACAAAAAAAAAAAAAAAAAAAAACACAAAAAGGCTAAGGGAATATATTAACACTAAACCAGCACTGCAAGATATGCTAAAAGGACTGCTGTAATTAGTAGATGAAATAGGAATAAAAATAGAACCACACAGAACAAAAATGGCAATAAATAAGTACATATCAATTGTCACCTTAGATGTGAATGGTTTGAATGCTCCAATAAAAAGACACAGAGTAGCTGACTGGATAAGAAAGCATGACTCACATATATTTTGTTTACAAGAGACCCACCTCACAACAAAAGACACATATAGGTTGAAAGTGAAGGGATGGAAAAAAATCTTTCAAGCAAATAGAAAGCAAAAATAAGCTGGGGTAGCAATACTCATATCTGATAAAGTAGATTTCAAAATGAAGACCATAACTAGAGACAAAGAAGGCCACTACATAATATCGAAAGGATCTATCCAACAGGAAGATATAACCTTGGTAAACATATATGCACCCAATATAGGAGCACCAACATATATTAAAAATCTTCTGGAGGACTTAAAAGGAGAAATCAACAGCAATACAATCATAAAAGTGGACTTCAATACCCCACTGACATCACTGGATCGATCCTCTAGACAAAAAATTACAAGGAAACACAGACCCTAAATGAAGCACTAGACCAAATGGATTTAATAGATATCTACATTGAATTATACCCAAAAACTGAAGAATTCATATTATTCTCAAGTGCACATGGGACATTCTCAAAGATAGACCACATGCTAGGGCACAAACTAAGTCTCTGCAAGTTCAAGAAGATTGGAATCATACTAAGAATCGTCTCAGATCACAATGGCATGCAACTAGAAATCAATTGCAGCAAGAACATGCAAAGACATTTGAAAACATGGAGGCTAAATAGCATGTTATCAAACAATGAATGGGTTACCATGGAGATCAACAAAGAATTTAAAAACTTCCTGGAAACCAATGAAAATGAACACACAACAACACAAAATCTATGGGATGCAACAAAAGCAGTTCTGAAAGTAGTTCTACAGGTCTACCTCAAGAAGCAAGAAAAATTTCTAATAGACTAACTTCACAACTTAAAGAATTAGAAAGCAAACAAAAAGAAAACCCCAGAGCAAGTAGAAGAAAGGAAATAGTAAAGATCAGAGCACAAATAAATGACATGGAGACCAAAAAAAAAAAACAATTCAAAGGATCAATAAAACAAAGAGCTGGTTCTTTGAAAAGATAATAAACAAGATTGATAGACCCTTAGCTAGACTCACCAAGAAACAAAAAGAGAGAACCCAAATACACAAAATCAGAAATGAAAGAGGAGAAATAATAACTGATACCACCGAAATACAAAGGATTGTTAACAAATATTATGAACAATTACACAGCAACAAATTAGACAATCTAAGCAAAATGGACAAATTTCTAGAAACACATAGTCACCCAAAACTGAACAGGGAAGAGATAGAAAACTTGAACAAACCAATAACAACTAAGGAAATTGAAGACGTAATCAAGACTCTCCCAGCAAACAAAAGTCCAGGCCCGGACGGCTTCATGAGGTAATTTTACCGAACATTCAAAGAAGAACTAACACCCATTTTCCTCAAACTATTTCAAAAAATTCAAGAAGGAAGACTTCCAAACTCATTTTATGAGGTCAGCATAATTCTAATTCCAAAAGCAGAAAAAGACACTAGAAGGAAAGAAAATTACAGGTCAATATCCTTGATGAACATAGATGCCAAAATCCTGAACAAAATACTAGCAAACTGAATATAGCAATACATCACAAAAATTATTCACCATAACCAAGTTGGATTCATCCCAGGGATGCAAGGCTGGTACAATGTTTGCAAATCAATAAATGTGATACACCACATAAACAAAATTAAAGATAAAAATCATATTATCATATAAATAGATGCTGAAAAAGCATTCAACAAAATCCAGCACCCATTTCTGATAGAAATGCTCAGCAATCTGGGAAAAGAGGGATCATATCTCGATATAATAAAGGCCATGTATGAAAGACCTACAGCCAACATCATACTCAATGGGCAAAAATTAAAAGCATTTCCCTTAAGAACAGGAACAAGACAAGGATGCCCACTTTTGCCACCCTTATTTAACATAGTACTGAAAGTCTTAGCCACAGCAATCAGACAGGAAGAAAAAATAAAAGGGATCCAAATTGGAAAGGAGAAAGTGAAACTGTCATTATTCACAGATGACATGATACTATACATAGAAAACCCCAAAGACACCATTGAAAATTTACTAGACTTAATAAATGAATTTGGCAAAGTAGCAGGATAAAAAGTTAATGTCAAGAAATCAATGGCATTCTTAAACACCAATGATGAAGTCACAGAAAGAGAAACTAAAAAAACAATCCAATTTACCATAGTGGCAAAAAATTAAGATACCTAGGAATAAACTTAACCAAAGAAATAAAGGACCTATTCGCAGTAAACTACAGGTCATTGAAAAAGAAATAGAGCCCCGGCCAGTTTGGCTCAGTGGTTAGAGCGTCGGCCTGCGGTCCTGAGAGACCCGGGTTCAGTTCCCGCTAAGGGCATGTACCTTGGTTGCAGTTTGTCCCCGGCCCTGGTCCGTTGTGCGGGTGGCAGCCACTCAATGTGTTCCTTTCACGTCAATGTTTCTCTCTCTCTCTCTCTGTTCTTCTCTCTCCCTCCCACTCTACCTGAACAAAAAATGGAAAAATGTCCTCGGGTGAGGATAAAAAAAAGAAAAAAGAAATAGAGGAAGATATAAAAAAGTGGAAGCACATACCTTGTTCATGGATTGGAAGAATTAACATCATTAAAATGTCCATACTACCCAAAGCAATGTATAGATTCAATGCAATCCCCATCAATGTACCAATGGCATACTTCACAGAACTAGAACAAATACTCCAAAAGTTCATATGGAATCAAAAAAGACCTCAAATAGTCACAACAATCTTGAAAAAGAACAAAGTTGGAGGGATCACATTACCAGATTTCAGGTTATATTACAAAGCAACTATAATCAAAACAGCCTGGTACTGGCACCAGAACAGGCATATAGACCAGTGAAACAGAACAGAGAACCCAAAAATGGACCCAAGGCATTATGCTCAATTAATATTTGACAAAGGTGGCAAGAGCATACAGTGGAGTAAAGACAGCCTCTTTAATAAATGATGTTGGGGAAATTGGACAGCTACATGCAAAAAAATGAAACTAAACCATCAACTTACACCATATACAAGAATAAACTCAAAATAGATAAAAGACTTAAATATGTCTCGTGAATCCATAAAAATCCTAGAAGAAAATGTAAGAAACAAAATTTCAGATATCATACGCAGTAGATGCACTGTATGGGAGAGCATAATTGCCAATGATACATCAGATAAGGGGTTAATTTCCAAAATATATAGAGTGCTCCTACAACTCAACAAAAGGAAGACAAAGAACCCAATTTAAAAATGGTCAGAGGAACTAAATAGACACCTCTCCAAACAGGACATACAAATGGCTAAGAGACATATGAAGAATCATAATGCAAAACTCACAATATTTACTCAGTAAATGTGATGAAAGAATGAATGTCAAAGAGCATCTCTTCAGGTTCCTTAATCATTCACTCAACATACTTTTTTCAAGTATCTTTATGTAGCAATCAGAAAAACTGTGCTAAGCAGTAAAAATATAAAGATAAATGAAATCTTGTCTGGCTAACCAGGGGGCCAAAGTCCCACAGAGGAGACAGATGAGTACACAGATAATTTCAGGGTGATAAGTACTGTAGACCCATAGTAGCAATTATTTGAACACTGCGCCTGCCAACCTCTCCCTGTACCTTCTGTGTTTACATTCTGGACTATCCCTGAAGTACTCCTTTTCACTACTTTTTATCAAGTACATCATACATGCATTTTGAGAAATTAGTACCCCACCTGAAATATTTTAGAGAAGACTTTATGGAAATTTACAAAGTAAATTTACACACTTACATCATTTCAGTGACCAACAGTAACTGAGACAGCAGGGGAAAATCTAAGAAAAGAAAAGAAAATTTGGTAACTACAAAAGAGTACTTCTACCACCAAAATTCCACAATCTTTTTAGTAAGCACCATAAAATCCTCATCCTTATCTATATCCATGCCCAAGGTGTAATGTCCCCCAAAAGCTGCTAACTCTGAATGATTTCTACTTTTAATTGTGTATCTAGTCACTATAATTCATTCATTTAACTCATATTTCACAAAGGCCTACTCTGTTTTGGACATGCAGATAAGATAGTGTATAAGACAAACAGGCTTTGCTCCTGCTCTCACTAAATTTACAGACTAGTGAGAGAGACAGTCAATTTAGGAGCAAACTTATAATGCAGCTCAATGAATGTATTTTATTTGACATCTCCATTTCCAGCCTTCTTAAGTCAGTATTGTTTAAGTCAGATTGAAAATCATTGGAACTCCCATTTATGGCCTTCATCAGACAAAGAATATCACTGTTTTCAGCAGTGAAATTCCATTTATGACTTTCAAACATCTCTGGTAAAGGCATAGGCAGACAGATGGCTAATCTAATTACTTAATGCATAGTAATGTGTTCATGTGTTCTTTTCCCTGGTTAATCCTGCATTTTAGCACTAGCCTTCTTGAGAGGCAATGTGTTAACATAGCCAACAAAACGAATGCTACTGAATTTCAGGAACTCTGGCCAATCTGAGAAAATATTTGCAGTCATAGAAGCCTTTGGTGCCACTGCTCACATCACACCACATAGACATGGAAATATTTCCCCCAGGAGTCCTCCATGTTGCACATCTCCTATATCACTTTACCTTCCCCTCTTCTGTTTGCCCAGGAGATTTCAGGGGGTAGTCAGTCATTTTTATTGTGTGAGAATAAAAAGGAAATTCAAGATATCTATAAATTTGGTTTCCTCCAGCAGTGGTTACACTTGATTGAAATACTTAAAAATTTTAAAAATACCAGTTCTATGGTTGCTTCTTTTAAGCTCCCTGAGAACAAGGTTAGCACTATGGATAGGCAGAACAAGCATCAGATAAAGAATATAATTTTATGCTCTCTAGACATTTCTCTTTCTTTTGTCACTCAAGCAACTCCCCAAGCTCTCTAAGTATCATGGTGCCTGAAATTCCATTTGATGGTATTCCAGAAGGTTTTTGGTAGCTCTCTATACAACCCATGTGATTTGATTGAAGAGTGGCTCAAAATGTTCCCATTTTCTAAAATCTCTCTCTCTGGCTAATCTGCAATAGTCACTACATTTTATCAGCACCTAATATGGGTAAAAGCAGTAAAGATCCCTGTTACAGCATAAGTTCTAACTTGAAGAAAGAATTCCTTAACTGATTGTATGCTTTCCAAGTGTACTGAGGAGGAGAAAAGAGAATTTCAATACAGTCTAAATCAATAAGCATGTATAAAGTGCCCATTATGTGCAAAGTAATGTTTAGGTGACGGCCATAGACAGATGAAAAGATATGACCTTCTATAAGGAGCTTACAAGACGAATAAAAATGAGGGCACTGAGTAAATATGAAATACTGAAAGGCAAGAAGCTTTAAAAAAATAAAGATAACAAAAAGGTAAATAAATGCTCAAGAAAAATATCCCTTCTCATTTTGTCCAAAAGGAGTTGTTGGATCACAAAAGACAACCTTGGGCAAGTCATGTCTGAGATACTTTCCATCAGCCATACTTATATTTCTTTTTCCCCTTTCTGTCCCATGTTTATTTTTGAGACATGACCAGATTCCTTCTTTCTACATCAAAAAAACAAACAAGCAAAAAATAATAATAAAATAAAAACAGAAGCAAACTTCTCCCTAGCACAAAATGTCATAACACTGTATGCCTTTGTACAACAGAAAGGGGATTCCTTAACTAATACTCAAAGGGAACTGCATTAGAACAGGAAAATGAGTCAGACAACCTGTTTAGAATTCTCTAGACAGCGATCTCCCCTTATCTGGGCCAGGAATATCATTTCAAAGACCCCTGTGTAAGTGAATGCGTGCAAATGTTGAGTCACATGTCATCTTAGAAAGATGTATAAGTGACTCCCAACCATACCAAAGCAAAAATATGCAAGTTTAACTTTTATCAAAAGCACCCTGAGATCTGATCATGTGCATCTATGCTGTTTACAGTTGTCAAGTTGAATCATGGGAGTCCTTACCAAAAAATGGGAAATGTGTATAATTATTTTATGATGAGGCCAAGTTAATATTTTTTAAAGTCAGATTATCCAAACAAACAAAAATGTACCACATATACTCTAAATTATACCTTGGCCAGAGATAGCAGAAATGGTTGTAGTGTTTAGAGTTTCCAAAAAGGAAAATAAAACCTTTAATTAGCAGTAAATACAGAACAAACGATAGGGATATGCAGGATAGAGACATGATATCCTGCCCTCAATCAGTTTAGAGTCCAGTCAGAACACAAACACACACACATACATCTGTTAACTATCAATGGTAAGTAACAAGAGTTAAATGTTCAATGAGTACACTGGAGTACAAAAATGTAAGGTAAAAGTCATGTTCCCATCTGTTGACAATTTGGTCACATATTTTTATTCCCAACTAATCCTGTATACATGCTTATAAGAATTAGTTACAAATGTTCTCAATGCTTTTAAAAAATGCAGACATTTAAAAAAAACAAACAGATCTTATACTTACATGATGGTGGAGACACCAACGACAGACTTTCCCACAGTGGTCTGTGTAGCCGAATGACAACAGGACCAAATTCTGTTTGTATCTCTTATTCTCTGTGATATCTTTAGCTAGAAGCTGTGGGTAAACTGTTTAATCTACATGGCTTTGTAATGAATTTACTCACAGCGTATTTCACGGGAAATATCTGAATCATCACTGTTAATACCTTTTTGTGTAATCTGGAAAAAATACTTCGATATTTGCTGCGTAACTTCACAACTTTTGTTTTCCTTTTGAAGACTTAAGGAATGCAGTCTTCATTGGTTTGAACACCATCTAAGATTTTGAACAAGTTAAAACTTGGCTGCCTCCAATCCTCTATGAAAGGAGGCAGGCTAACATGAATAAACATACATATATAATTAAAATCAATTAAAATTTGAAGTTCAAAGTAGAGTAAGAGTCTTAAGGATATGATACCATGAAAACTGAAAGTTCTTTATGCATCCTTGAGTCCATGCCAACAGCTTTTTTGTCCTTTCTTTTCACTCTAAGTGTGAATGAAAAGAAGTGAGAGAGGAAGACAGAGGCAAGGAAGCAGGCAGGGAGGGATAGAACACAAACAACAGACACTAAACAAAAGTAGAGCTTTACCTGAAGGTGAGGACTTTTAATCTGGAAGCAAGTTTTTTTCAAACTGATTATTCAAGTAAAAGCAGTTCCCAAATGTTCCCAGCCTCCACAATAGAGTTTAAATAACATCTTCACCTCATATCTGTGCAGCCCCACTAACTGCCACATGTATTTTTCTAGAGCACACACACAATCACAACAACTACACACTATGAGCTAGGCACTCATTTTGCAGATGGGAAAACTGAAGACATGTGATGAAGCCAGAACCCATGCCTATATTTATGGACTCTTGGTTCCAGTCTATTTCCACTAAGGCAAAGGAGGAAGTTAAATATGAGATTGCAAGAACTTGGGGGTAAGGGGCCAAGCCTAGGGTGGCATGGGAGAGCCTGAAAATCTGAAACTGTGAAATAGGGTGCTATCACATGTTAGGGAACCCACAGCCATGATTCTTCCAGAAATACTTCCCTGATTAGAACATATTTAGTAGTTAGCTTCTTAAAATGTACTAACTACTATTTATTTCAGGACTCATCAACATTTTCCAGAAGACACAATTTTTGCTGAAGTTAAAGTTTGACAGGCAGCAGGGGTTTGCCCTGCCTGACAATATAAAACCTGGGGCATAGCAGGCCCATACTTAGCTAGGACTATCCTCAAACTTCTGGGGAAGGGACTGTTGGCAGTTGTTGGCTCATAGTTGACTTGTTTGTCCTTGAGGATCTGCCTTTAGGGCATGATTGATTGGTGAACAGATCCCCTGGTCTATTTCAATACCCAAACTCTGGCACCTGCTCTTTTCTCTCTGTCCCAGAGCCAAGGGGTATTCTCAGCTTCATTCTCTGATTAGCAGAAAGAGCAGCTGGAAACACAGAACAGGAGGTGGTTCCCATTTGTATAGAAAGGGAACAAACTGAAAACAACACACTAAATTTAGACTTCCCTGTAGGCCTGGTAGACAGGCCTGTAAATAGTTCTAGGCTGTGACTTTTCCTTTTTTCATTCTCCTATATCATCTTGTGTAAGTATTACAAGGCTCCACAAAGCCCTAGGTGCCTTCCAAAGAGAAAGGTTTTATATATAGCAGGGTTCCTCAGTAATTTGACCGGAATTAAGATAAAGTTCCCACTTCCTCCAAAAGAACTTGTCTGACTGTCCCTCATCACGTAACATCACTCCCTCTCCCTTGACCTCCCCAGGATTTCTGCTATATGTTCGGTGCCTCTCATTTGGCCTTTATTACTCATAACCATGTAGCATGGGGATTTTTTTTTTGTAAATCCTTGGTCTTCTCTACAAACATGCTTAAAGGTTGTAGAGGAAAGAACATTTGCTTTTCCATAGCTCTCAATACAATGTTTTAGACATAATAAGCTCTCATCTTGAGGAATTAATTAAATAGAAATACCAATTTATAGAATTTTACTGTTTTTGTTAGAGACAGTGCTATCATCTAACACTGTAAAATATTTTCCCCAAATCATTAAGCAATGGGCAATTCCTTGCCAGAAATATAAAGAAAAATTCTAATAACTTATGTTAACACTACACAACTCTCTAGTTTAGGTGATCAATTATTATCTGGTTAAATAACCCAGGCTTAAACAAGCTTATCACACACACACACACACACACACACACACACACACACACGTTTTGTTGCAAAGAGACTATCTGACCTAACTATCCTAGAGATAAAATACTAATTAATAATAATG